CTTTCCAGAGAATCCTGTCTTCTCACGAGCCAGACCTTCCTTCTACACAGTCAAAGATACCAACTGGGCGATATTAAAATTACAAGACTTTTAGCATTCTTTGCATCTTGTGCCTCTAGCTGCCTTTCGCAGCTATGCCATATTATGGGCTATGCAAAGCATTCCTCTTCTTGATCCCCTGGCTTTCTCGGTGAAGAGGAGTTTGCTCCAGGGTTACAGCTTTTCGATGCACAACCTCATACATCCCCCTGACAGGTTAAAGTGGTCCAGTCTGGGAAAACCTTTGCCACTTGCTCTTCCTATATAAATATAACTCTTTGCAAGAGAAAAAGCAGCTCTGCTCATGCGGTAAGCACCAGGAGGATATATTTTCCCTTACCGTGTCCAAAAGGGGAATCTGTTCCAAGCAAAATGTCTAGGTCTGAGGAGTTTCCACTGTGGTTGTTGAATCACCTTTTGGCATGGCAAAAGATGGCCACAGCTACCAGTCTTCAGCTGAAAAGCCTGCAGGACCTCTCAGTGGGTTGGACGCACAGATTAGGGGGGAGGATTTGTATATTTACCAATTTAATGCATGCTTATCCGGTTTTGCACTTTCAGACAAAGCAAAGCTCGGTTTGAAATCTGACCGTCTCCAAATTTGTCAGTGGAATTTTAGAATGAAAAAGACTATAGTAGGAAAAAATGTGCACCCAAATACAGTACATACAGTATATTAAAGAAAATAATATTCAGAATATGCTCTATATTGGGAGATCTTGCATTTGGGGGTGAAAAATGTAAGATTTAAATAATAATAATACAGTGTGAACCAATGCACAACTATAAAACACAGTATTGACATTCATTTCTCTCCCCTTCCCCCCAAATTTTGCAAATGAGTTATTTTAATTTTAAAAGAGTGTCTAGGGGAAAATGCAAACAAAACCACATAAATCAGTGGAAAACAGATTTTTAAAAAGGATTACATTGAACAGTTGATCAATACAAGGGTCTCAATTAAGCAAAAATGTATTGTTGCATTTTTTGGGGGGGAGGGGGATGCAGAAAGCTTGTATTCTTTTTACACAGGCTTGGAAACAAATTCAAACAAAGCCTGGGTGGAGTGAGGATCAAGAGAATTTGAAAAATCCAAGATGGGCTCCAGGAGGGGAGCAATGAGAACCTGAAAGAAGCCGAAATGGTTAAGTGGATCCTTCCCTAGCTGCAGGATGCACACACAGCACCCCTGGCGTCAGCCATCTTGTGTTCCCACTGTTTCTTAGCTTTAAGAAACAGCTTTCCACTTGAGGTTCCTTGGCTGGTCCCCCCCCCCGATGAGTTGCCCCCCCAGCTCCCATGGAAGCGGTCCTACCATCCTGACCCCTGCTCTGTTCCTTGAGTTTTCAGAAGCTACACCCAAATTTTGAGGGGAAGGCCATGGTGGTGTTGATGTCACAGGGGTCGGTCCTTGTGATGTCAATTCCAGGGATGGAGACCCAAGATGTGGGACTCGCTGTCAAATCAGACTTAAGTCACACCAGCGACTTAACTGGGACTCATGTTTTGTTTTTCCAATGACTTGGATTCATGTCACAACTCAGAACACCACCCATCCCTCCCCTTTTTTTCTGGGGGGGAAAAGCTTAATTTTAATAGGAAGGTGGTAGCGCTGCAGGTTAAACCGCAGAGCCTCTGTGCTGCAAGATCAGAAGACCTGCAGTCATAAGATCGAATCCACGGGACAGAGTGAGCTCCCGTCGCTTGTCCCAGCTCCTGCCAACCTAGCAGTTCGAAAGCAAGTAAAAATGCAAGTTGAGAAATAGGGACCACCTCAGTGGGAAGGTAATGGTGTTCCATGTCTAGTTGCACTGGCCATGTGACCACGGAAACTGTCTTTGGACAAACGCTGGCTCTATGGCTGGGAGACGGGGATGAGCACCACGCCCTAGAGTCGGACATGACTGGACTAAACGTCAAGGGGAACCTTTACCTTTACTTGGGTGTGAACTTGGGGGGTCGGACCCAAAGACTTGCCAACCTCCCTGGTCATTCCCCTGAATGACAATTATCAATAGACAATGCTAAAACTTGAGAATCGTATTATTGCCTCATTCATCTGCAAAAGCAAGCAGAAGTCATCAGTTACCCTGACCCATCACAGACCTCACAAATGAATACAAAGAAAAGCTTGTAGGGGAAAATAGTTTCAAATAATCTATCTGATTAACATCATTATTACTCTATCATCATTATCTTGTTTGTTTAGTCATTAAGTCATGTCTGATTCTTCGTGACCCCATGGACCAGAGCACGCCAGGCCCTCCCGGAGTTGGGTCAAAGTCATGCTGGCGGCTTCGATGACCCTGTCCAACCATCTCATCCTCTGTCATCCCCTTCTCCTCCTGCCTTCACACTTTCCCAACATTAGGGTCTTTCCCAGGGAGTCTTCTCTCATTATCTTACCATTGTTATTTTACCATTGTTAATCTATGATGGAGGCTCTCATATCCTTTACAGCCCTAGCTTCTACTAAAGACCAGCATATCAAAGACGCTATCATTGCAATGTCTAATACCCACGGACTCTCCTATCAACCAACCACAACTTGAAGGCCATGTATATACACAAGCCATATTGCATCTCCCTCTCTTACATCTGATGAAGTGGACTTGTCCATGAAAGCTCACATTAAAAAAAAATATATAAAAGTCAGTCTTTACAGTGCCACCACATTTTTTAAAACTGATGATTTTTATTCTGTCTTCCCCTGTACCCCTGGTCCTCCCGAAAATGACTTGAAAACATGCTCCTGTTCAGAAAACTTATTTCAGGATGAAGCTACATCTGCATCAGCCTGTTTTCTGGGTTGTATCAGATCTGAGCATGGAAATTGCTAGTTACAAGTGAGAAATAACTAGTCATCTCCAACTCTGATCTGACATAACCCAGAGAACAACGTGGTCCAGATAGAGTCCCGTTTTTTTTTTTAATAAGCTATAATTTGGTGTCTCATAGATCATGGTGATTTTTTTGAAGAAAAGGGAAGGAGAGAGGAGCAGAATCCAAGCCATCCCCTGTATAAAGGAGCTTAGTCTTGGGATGGTTTGGAAGGTGGTCAGCATGGAACAAGTTTCTTATTTTTGTTACAGCTGAGAAAACACACGCACAAAAAGGTCACAGAAGTGTATTTATTGCTATGTTTGGATTCCGATGTTTGCCTTATTGAAGGAGGGTTGGAGGGGGAGAGATATAAAAATTGATTCTCCCCTCTCGTTTCCCAAACCGGGCTGAAAAGTGAACAGGAAAAATTTCAGTCTTAGAGAAAGAACACAGTTAATGCTTTATTCTCAGAAGTGAACCTGGATCACACCGGAGCCTAAATCTTCCAGATTCCCGACACAGTGTTAAGTCTAAAGCTGGGGAGAAACAGTGATTGGAACATAAAATCATGAAACTGACTGAATAATTCAAAGAGTTTTTTTTAAAAAAATGCATGCAAAACTGCATTGAAATGAGTGGAAAACAGATTTTTTAGAAGGGTAATGTCGAACAATGTTTCAGTACAAGTGCTTTGATTAGACATTTTTTAAATTGTTATACACTATGTGTATTATAGATGAATGGTTTAGGTCTCCGGCTGCAGAGCAAAATGGGAGTGCCATTCCCCCTTGTTGCCTCCTTCATAAGGGGCTGGACCTGATGATCCATAGGGTCCCTTCCAGCTCTGCAGGGCTGAGATGATGACTGAGGGGTTTTGCACCCTCAAAAACAAAGCTGTGTTTTCTTTCCACTCTTGCTTAGCTTTCAGGGTTTTTTCCTCTCCTAAAAGGGTCTTTTCAGCTTCATCTCATTTGCTGCTGCTGCTGCTTCCGTTAATTGCTTGAGAGAAAGTCCCACGGTGAAATCAGTTTCATGGCTTGCCCCACAACCAATAATGAGTCCCTCCAGGTTTTGCACAGATTGGTACACTCATTTTTCTCAGCTTTCTCCTCTGCCTGCTTCCACAATCAGCTGTTCCAGATGTGCTGTTCCATGCCATCAAGTCAGTTCCAACTCATGGTGACCTTTTCCCGGGTTCTCGAGGCACAGAGGTGGTTTATTGTTCCCTTCTTTGGGCCTGTGTGCAGCTGGCCCATGGCTACATAGGCTGGCTCTTCTTCTGCTTAGGCACAGTGGGGAACTGAACTCCCTGCCTCTACAGCCATGTAACTGAAGTTGCTGAGCCTCCTCTACACCTCTGGACTTAGCTTGATGATTCAGTAAGTCATGCCTTCATCCTTGCAAAGACCATTGTGGAAAAGCAATCCTCATGAAACATGTTGGAGAACATCGTTCTGTTCTCAAAGCTTTCAGAACTCCAGTCCTGCTGCCTTTTGTACATGGGATGGAAATGTCACAGGGCAGGCCTACACTTATTCAGTTGCATACAATATGCATATAGTCTGCCCTTCTGTGAATTGATCCATAGAGACATAGAGACATATCTGTGTATGAATGACAGGGTTGATTGCAATTTCTCAGGGGTAGTAATTCAGGAGTGAGTCCAGTTATCATATGCGAGCTCTCCAAGGTGCTGAATCTTATTCCCCAAACAGGCTCAGTACAATGGATCCCTCTGAGGTTCAGACCAAATCTGGAGTGGATTGCTCCAATGAAATTGAAGTCAAGAGCATTGAGGATGTAGGTGTGGGGGTGGAGAGAGAGAGAGAACACAAGAAAGAGAGAGAGAGAGATTGTTGGCCAGGTACCCCAGTCGTTCAGACCAAATCTGGAGTGGATTGCTCCGATGAAATCGAAGTCAAGAGCATTGATGATGTAGGTGTGGGAGAGAGAGAGAGAGAGAGAGAGAGAGAGAGAGAGAGAGTGTGTTGGCCAGGTACCCCAGTAAACTCTGCTTCTTGGTTGTTGAGAAAGCTGATGCCCTTTTCTTCCTCATTCATTCTCTGTGTCATTTCATGTAAGATGATGATGGTGATGTCAACCCACTAAAAGTTCTTCCTCTTCATGGTGTATTTCAGGAAAACCATGACCACTTCACTACTCGCATTTGTGTGTTTGCAAGTCATCGCTGCAGCCGTCTCTGTGGAAGTTTTAGGTAGGTATCTCTAGGGCTCTCCTAAGATATGGGAATGGTCGAGTCCAATGCTGCCTTTAGGGCAGGACTGGGGGTATGAAGTCTGGGGTCCTGGTTCTCAGAAGAACTAGGAAGGGCCCGAATTGTAACACAACTAGTTTACTGCTTTTAGGAGGAAGTTAAGGGATATACATGAGTTCTTACAATGTGGTGGACTAGTAGACCACTAAGTCCAGAGCCTAAAGTTATCTAACGCCACCACTTCGTGGAAGCCACATGATGCCCCCTCTCTGCAACACTGGAAAAGGCAACCAAGGGCAGCTGAAACCATATAAGGGGTGCCGTGGAGTTTCGGCAACTTGCCATGATGAATATCAGCGAATTGACAAAATGTCAGGGCACATCTAGGTTGTGTAGTTAGATGTGTGACCAGGCATGTAACTGGGACATCCTTTGTCTACTCTTCAATTAGCCCCAATTACTTTTGACAACATCCATTACATTGAGATATATATCAATGTAATACCTTGATAATAGCTTGTCTATTATCATGTAATACCTTGATAATACAATGACAATACCTTGTCTATTATCATATCCTTTGGATTTTATTTTGTTTTCATTTTACACCCACACCAAAAGGATTCTGGACAATGTAACTTAGTGGCTGGAATCCAGTGACATATTTTATGCTGGGTAAGGCTGATGACATCATCAACTATGCTAATTTTCCAGAAATTAAAATTTCCCACCACTCCCCACCAAAAAAGGGTCCCTTTTTGCTGTGGGGTAGCCATAGGAGTCCATTAGATAAGGTGAACCCTCTAATCAACAAAGGTCACTGCCGGTTGGATGATTTTATTGGCAGCTGTGATTTTTGGACATTAAATGGCTCCCCCTATCCCCAGCCTCCAACAGTTTCCTCACATTGAAATGTGTCCCATGAGAACATCAGGATTTTGCAAGGGGGAAAATGGTGAGAACTTTGCAATTTATCAAAAACCAGCAGGGCTGATGACATCATCTGCCTTACACCACATACATTGGATTTCAGCTAGCTGTGCCTTATAAATTGCAAAATGAGCCACGTGTAACACATTGTTTACTAGAGATATAACACCAATTTACTTTATTTCACTCTTTCTTACTCCCTCCCTCACTTGCTCTCTCTGTCCTTTGATTCTCGTCCACACATTTTGGGGGACTGACAGATCATGGTGCCACATTGAGTGTGAGCATACCGTTGCGTTCCCCCCTGCGCGTTCCTCTGGGAAGAACGTTGACCATTCCCTGTTACTACATTGATACTTTGGAACATGTCACCACGTCTCCATCCACCCCACCCTTGAGCCCGAGAATCAAATGGAGCAGAATATCAGATGGCAAGCAGGTAGTCTTGCTGGTAGCCATGGACGGGCATGTGAGAATCAACACCGCGTACCAAGAGGTGGTCTCTCTGCCCAACTACCCTGCCATTCCCACGGACGCCACTCTGGAAATCAAGAGACTTCGGTCCAACGATACGGGGATTTATCGCTGTGAGGTGATCCATGGCATTGAGGACAGCCAGGATACAGTAGAGGTGAAAGTAAAAGGTAGGTCCTAACCCCTCCATCCTGTCTCTTCTGGGTTGATCTTGTGAATGGAGGTCTTGTTAGGGCTGGTCAGGGGTCCACCAATTCCATTCAGAGGTAGATTCCAAATGTAGGCCAGAATGCTGAATTTCAATTCTGAATTCACATCCAGAACCCCAAATCCCAATTCCAAGTTCAGCTTAGAAGCCAGCTGTTTAATGGATCCTGATGTGATCTATGACAATTAGAGTCTATAATATCTGCCCCAGCAAGAAAACAAATTGGAAATTCAGAGTGAAATCCCAGAGGCAGATAGCTTGCATGCTGTGCCAGGGCAAGCTTTTTTCCAGCGATCTCACGCTATACGGGCACAAGCGCTCCAGATCACCCCTGATCTGTGCAAGCACACAGATTGATCTGCAAAACTATCCGTTTAGTTCCTCCAGATTTTCAGCTGATGATTTCTGTCTCACTTTGATTTAAACGTGAACGCTAGTTTAGATTATTCACTAATGTGTGTGTTTCTGAATGTATTTCCCAGGAATCGTGTTCCATTACAGAGCCATCTCCACTCGATATACTTTGGACTTTGAGAAAGCTAAGCAGGCATGTATCCAGAACAGTGCCGTCATCGCAACACCTGAACAGCTCCAAGCGGCCTACGAGGACGGCTTTGACCAGTGCGATGCGGGTTGGTTGGCTGATCAAACTGTCCGGTAAGCGGGGGGTCAGAGAGTCTAAATTCAAACCGAGTGAATTAAAGTAAGCCAGTGTTAGAAGCCATTGTCAGGTTATGGAGTGGATTAGGAATCAGGCAAGGGTCCCTGTGAACAGAACCAGCCTTGAAAATGAACCGAACTTATGAAAATTCACAACCATCTAAATGTTGCTGAAAGTCCACTTCCCGTTTTGTTGGAGGGACCTTGCACTTTGCTTTAATGTGGGATCCCCATTTTTTTTTGAGGTTTCTGAAAACAGGAGGAGGTTTGAGGTGGAGAGAGGTCTCATAGCTGTGAACGTCATCTTGGAAGCCCACCCTGCTCTAAGATGTACTATCTTCTGCTTGCCACTTGGTCGAAACGCAAGGCTTCACATCTTCCTCCATAAACACAGAGCTTTTGATCCCACTTCTGCTTAGTTACTGATCGTGCATTTTGTCCTTGAAAATCCTGTTTCTGCTCCAGAACTGAAGAGCACGTACTGTCTCTTCTCCCTGCTCTCCCCTCTGAAGACCGTGTCTCTTCTCTCACTGAATTTCTCACTGAATCAGGTACCCAATGAACCATCCACGAGAAGGTTGTTATGGTGACAAGGATGAATTTCCCGGAGTGAGGACGTACGGCGTTCGTGAAACAGATGAGACATACGATGTGTATTGTTATGCAGACGAAATGGAAGGTAAATATCTGCCTTGTTAACACAGGGTGGGCCTCAATCTTCAGGGCCTACGCTTCCCTTCAATCACAGAAGGAATTATGGGAACGGTGGCCCAGAAACTTGTAAGGGGCCATAGGTTCCCTACCTGCTGATATGGCACCTCACCACCACCCCATATCAGCTGTGGTAGGGTCTCCATGATAGCTCACAGACTTGTTTAAAACCTTTTAAAATCAAAGATGATGCCAGATATAATCACCAACAGTTTGCAGACAGCCCTCACCCAAGACAAAATAATTAGAAATAGCTATTTCTGATAAAAATCGGGACATGGTGGTGCTGCGGGTTAAACTGCAGAAGCCTCTGTGCTGCAAGGTCAGAAGACCTGCAGTCGTAAGATCGAATCCACGCAACGGAGTGAGCTTCCATCGTTTGTCCCAGCTCCTGCCAACCTAGCCATTCGAAAGCATGTAAATGCGAGTAGATAAATAGGCACCACCTCGGTGGGAAGGTCTAGTCCGTGTCTAGTCACGCTGGCCACGTGACCACGGAAACTGTCTATGGACAAACGCTGGCTCTACGGCTTGGAGACAGGGATGAGCACCGCGCCCTAGAGTCGGATATGACTGGACTAAATGTCAAGGGGAAACTTTACCTATTTCTGATAAATTTTGGTCTTTAAAAATCCCATCCTCTTGTTTCCTCTGATGTGTCTCGCACATGAATGACTGAAGAAAAGTTATCAGCTGGACAAAAGCTAGTAAAAATGTTTGCTCACCAGAAAGAGATGCCGGCTGGCAAATGAGTTCATGGCATTGTGTTCCTTGCAGGTAAAGTCTTCTACGCCACCTCTCTAGAAAAGTTCACCTTCCCGGAAGCAGCAGAGAAATGCCGCAGCCTCGGCGCACGTTTGGCAACGACTGGGGAGCTCTATCTTGCCTGGAAAGACGGCATGGATGTCTGCAGTGCTGGCTGGCTGGCCGATCGCAGTGTTCGGTACCCCATCAACAAAGCCCGGCCGACCTGTGGGGGCAACCTAGTGGGGGTGCGCACTGTGTACCTCTATGTCAACCAGACCGGGTACCCTTACCCCCATTCTCGCTACGATGCCATTTGCTACACGAGTGAGTATCAGCTGGTTGGTCTTTTCCTAGAGCATGTCAGTTTCGGGGTTGGTCTTTTCCTAGAGCATGTCAGTTTTATTCATGTGTCTCCTGGGAGAAGAGCCAGCCTGGGTGGCCTTGGGCAAGCTGCACAGTCCCGGGGCTCCCCCTAGAGGAAAAGAATGGTAATACACTTCGGAGTACTTTATACCTAGAAAATAAATTCACCAAGAGTCAGAACTGATTTGACAGCACACAATCATTATGTTCATTTCTAAGAAATGCCAGCTGTGGGGGTGCAATGATACTCGTGACCTGTTTTTTTAATCAAAACCTTTATTGGCATATACAAAACACTAGACAACAACTACATTCAGTAACACTTAATTGCAACTATATCAAAGTTTGCTTAGATTCAATGTAGTTTTGCTATGTATGCCGCAAGGCACACTCTCCAATCTATCCTATGCACTTAATAATAATAATACTGAGACCACTCTAAGCGGCTAACAACATAAAACTTTTATTGTCATAATTAACCCATGATTACATCAAAAGATCCTTAATCTTGGCTCAAGATGGGAGTGCTGATTCAAACTGTGCTATTATGGCACAAACCCAATGATTACATCAGAAGATCCTTAATCCTGGCTCAAGATTGGGAGTGCTGGTTCAAACTATGTGTGCTGTGAAACATGCTACATTCTCCACCCTGTCTTTCACCCTGTCATTTGACAGAAAACACATTCTGTCTATATCAGATCACCCTTTTACCTTACGCAATATTGTGCCCAGATATTGAGCGTGGGGTTCAGAATAGCGAGGGCAATATAAACACATGTGTACAAGCGACTCTGTTCCTCCCAGATCACAAGAGCAGTGCTTCTCATTGTAAAGAATACCCTGAAACCAGCCAGATAATACTGCTGAAGGCATTACAGTGGTGCCTCACAAGATGAATGTAATTCATTCTGCGAGTCGCTCTGTCTTGCGAAAAAATTGTCTTGCGAAAAGCGATTTCCCAAGGGAACCTCACAAGATGGATGAATTTTTTTCATCTTGCGAGGTATCGGTCTTGGAAAAAAAATCATCTTGCAAAGCATGGCCATAGAAGAAACCATCTTGCGATGCACCATAGTGATCGCAAAAACCATTCGTCTTGCGGGTTTTTCATCCCACGAGGCGTTCGTCTTGCAAGGTACCACTGTACATTAAATAGGCTCTGTGTTTTTGAGGCCATTGTAATTGATGATAGTATAGGGCCCTCTGTCCCTGCCTAACAGGAATCTGGTGGCTTAGGGGGGAACAACAAACAACCTGTTTGTTGTCTTCCAATAGACAGTCGTTGGCCATTGTGTTGTTGTGTGACCAGGCTGTTGAATGTGGTAGACCTTTGATCTCATGCTTCAGGGTTCTTCTTATGGATTTAGAGCAAGGCTAAAATCATTGTGGCTTCCCAATCTTGTGAATTTCCACAACCCACCAGGACTCTCTCTCAGTGAATGAGGCTAACCAGACTCCATGTTGTTCAAAGCCTTCTTCAACCCGGAGCTATTTCTTGAAGAAGTCAGTTTCCCCCACACTTGAAGGCCTCACCAGCCCAACGTCTTTTCCCTCCTATTCTATGTAGGTGGCGACCTGGACACCATTGTCCACGAGAACTTCACCGATGAAACCATCGATGAGCTGGGAAGTGCTTTCACTGTCCGGACAGTCACCGAGATGGACATTGAACTGGAATTTGCACGCAACGTCACCGAGGAGGAAGCCCGGGGCAGCGTTGCCACCTTGGAGCCAATAGACTTTACCGCCACCCCTTCTGAGGTGGACGAGGCCTTCACAGCCATTCCAGATCTTTTTGCTACTGGATTCACTGAGGAGATCGAGAACAGGACTGAGACGGGACTCTGGGAGGGTATAGAAAATGCGACAATGCCAACCTTGGATACTCTTTTTACCACTGAAACCCCAGAGGTCAGCTCAGTGGAAGACAGCTTATGGGCAACTCTGAGACCAGAACTTGAATCTCCCTTGCCATTTACAGTGGAAGAGCAAATCATCGTAGGAACAGCAGCTCCTGACATTGGCTTTGTCCCCAAGGGACCCATTTCTCCCACAGGTAGGAGCATGATCCTGATTAGACCTTAGTCTAGGTGGGGGGAAAAACAACCCCTTTCCAGTTATCAAAAGACAATTCCTGTCTATCACACCGTAGATCTTTTATGGAACATAGGGGTGACCCAAATTGCAAATGACCTTGTTTCAGAGGAGCGAATCTTTACCCACCTTGCCTTTCGTGTTTAGGGACAACGAAATATGGAATTATTCTCCTCGCTCCCACCAAAAAAGCAAAGGATTTTGCGAGTTTCTTGACAGGAGAAGAAAGCATGAAACATTTTTTAATGAGTTAAGCAAGTTGGCTGGAAAAAATGCAAATTATATTTTAAATCTGTGGATTCATGTTTCTGCCCATCAGAGACAGCCATGCTGGGCTAAATGGTCCAAGGGTCTGACTCTATATAAGACAGTCTCCTGTTTTCCTGAATTCTCATACACCAAACCTATGGCTGATTGCTTTAAAAGATGCTAGCAAACCATCAGCGGCTTTTTATTCTTAAAACCCTACACAATGAGGCAAGAGACCATGTTGTTTTGAACCCATTGAGCAAACTATGAAAATTATATATATTATTCTCACTCATGGGAGAACTGTAGGTGAGCTTACCTAGAAATATCTCATCTTCTCAAAGACAAGAAGAAAAAAATTGCAGAATCTTGTCTTCACACATGTGTTTGAGATGAGTAAGGACTTACATCTCTAAGTACCCCAAAGTAGCAGTGGGTCTCCTCAGGTCCTGGTGTCCAAGACCCTACTTTTGAACCCAGTGTTCAAATTACTACAATTTGGGGTCTACCTTCATGGGAATGTCATTCAAGCATTGACATCGTCCCATTCTTGATTTTTTTTTGTTTTCTTTTTTGTTCACCAGGTGTTGTCTTTCATTACCGACCATCCACCAATAGATATTCCCTGACTTTTGTCAAGGCTCAGCAAGCTTGCTTGGATAATAACGCTGTTATTGCCACTCCCGAACACTTGCAAGCTGCTTATGAGGATGGTTACGATCAATGTGACGCTGGCTGGCTAAGGGACCAGACAGTCAGGTAAGGACAGAGGGTGGCTCAGCTGAAGGGAGTTTTTTCCACTGGTGAATGAGTCCTTTTGCTCTAAGTCCAGCTGCTAGTTGAACCTAGAGCAGATCTATTGAATGGATTGCTCCATTGGCCACTAGTGACTCCAAAAGACAAGACATTGATACTACATAGCAGAATTACGGATTTGCTAGTAATATTCTTGCAAACCAATGTGCAAGCAACATATTAAAGCTCTCGGGGCTGTTAATCCAGATAGAAAGAAAGCATTGTGCTGTGAACATAGCAACATTAGATTTGCCCATGATTTTCATCCACAATGTTAATTACTTAGTCAAAATGGCCAGACACAATGTTGATTATTTAGTGAAAGGGATTTTAAGAATTGTAAGAAGGCATACAGGTTATACAGGAAGCCAATAATAGAGAATTAAAAAAGGAAGTCAATGGCAGTCAGTTTTGTTTTTGTTTTTTCTTGCACTTTAGAACAACCTTCCCCATCTTGTGCCCCTGAATGTACAAGACTATAACTCACATCATCGCCAGCTAGCACATGTGGTCAGAACTGAGTTACTAACATATATACATGCAATCTTGTGGTTTTGGCTGGTTGGCTGGTTGGTTGGTTGGTTGAGCACATGTATAAATGATGAATCTGGGAAGGCATGAGCAAATCTTTGGGCTTGTATATTTTAAAAGGGGAGGGAAGAACTTGGGCACCCAGAAGAGATTTGTGGAATCAAACACTGGGTCAAAATCTGGCAGAGTCCGTTGAAAGGTCAACTCGTGATTTGGCACACTCTTAAAGTCGAGGCACTCTGCTTGGAATCATTGAACATCTGCCTTCCTTTTCTACACTAAGGTTGGATTTTGACATGAAAGTGTCTTCTTTTTCCACAGCAGAGAATGGAAAAGTTTAGGTGGGGCTTTGGACCACCACTCCCAAAATCTTTCCAGCAAGTGTGACCACAAACTGGGAGTTCTAGTTCTCTTGAATTTATTTCTCTAAGATTTGGGTTTACCACATCCCTTCTTGGGAGATTATTCATGAAATTCAGAAGCAGACACCCAGATCCTTTGAGGCTTTGGAAGAGTTCCCCTAAGGGCAGAAAATGAACCATTGCTTTCCCCTCCTTAGCTAAATGTTTGCTCATGGCCAGTTGACGACAGCGTTCAAGATTCTTTAGACTGCAAAAAGAGGAGCTTGTCTCGGATGCTGTTAAGCAGATCTGATATGTGATGCCTCACTGGAGTTAAAAAATATCTTAATTCTGTCTCTCTCCTGTCTCTCTCCTTCAGACTGTAGGTCTCCTTTCAAACTTTTTTCAGAACACACAAGACACTGCATTTCTGTGTCAAAGTACTGTTATTTAGAAGAGAACTGGGGTTGTTGCATATTATATTATATTATATTATATTATATTATATTATATTATATTATATTAT